CTACTACTACTACTAGTACTACTACTACTACTACTACTACTACTACTACTACTACTACTACTACTACTACTACTACTACTACTACTACTTGTTTCACACTGAATACTACGGGTACGTATTACTACAACTGCAATTACAAATGCTAATACTAGTACAACAACAACTACCACTACTACAACCAAGTACTACTATTGCTACTAAGTACTAGTACTACTACTGCTAGTTCAATGGTTGTGACTACCGCTACAACTTATATTGTTGTTATTACTGGTACTACTTCTATTCCTCCTATACTACCACTACTACCACTGCTACCACTACAAGTACTCCTGCTACGACTCCTAAACTACCACTACTACTTTTGCTGCTACTGCTACCTGCTACAACCGAAAACCATGGTGCCAACTCCGGGAACGAGCGTAGGAACGGAAGGAGCATGACGTGTAGATGCGTTTTGCCGGGCCCAAAAAATGCATCTGGCGTGTTTCCGGGCGAGCTACTACTTCTATTACTACTACTACTTCTACTGCTGCTGCTACAACAACAACTACTACTACTACTACCACTGCTACGACCACTACTACTACCACTGCTACGACTACTACTACTACTAGTCCTACTACTACTACTACTACTACTACTACTACAATCAACATTACCCCTACGGCCACTGCTCCCGTTACTACCACTACTACCGCTATACGACTGCCAGCGCGAAAACAGCACGAGGTCTAAATGCGTTTTGCCGGGCCGAACAAACGTAGCTACTCTTGCCAAAACCATGGTCCAGGGCCAACTCCGAAAACAAGCGTACGAACGGAAGGAGCTAGATGCGTTTTGCCAGGCCCAAAAAACGCATCTGGCGTGTTTCCGGGCGAGTTCCCACTACCACTACCACTACCACTACCTACTACTACTACTACTACTGCTACTACTACTACTACTGCTACTACCGCTACACGACTGCCAGCACGAAAACAGCACGAGGTCTAAATGCGTTCTTGCCGGGCCGAAAAAACGCATCTAGCTTTCATTCTTGCCAAAACCATGGCCCAGGGCCAACTCCGGAAACGAGCGTAGGAACGGAAGGAGCATGACGTGTAGATGCGTTTTGCCGGGCCCAAAAAACGCATCTGGCGTGTTTCCGGGCGAGTTACCACTACCACTACCACCACCACCGCCACCGCCACCACAACCACCACCACCACCACCACCACCACCACTACTACTACTACTACTACTACTACTACTACTACTACTACTACTACTACTACTACTACTACTACTACTACTACTACCGCTACACGACTGCCAGCGCGAAAACAGCACGAGGTCTAAATGCGTTTTGCCGGGCCGAAAAAACGCATCTAGCTTTCATTCTTGCCAAAACCATGGTCCGGCCATCTCCGAAAACAAGCGTAGGAGCGAAAGGAAAATGAGGTGTAGATGCGTTTTGCCGGGCTGAAACAACGCATCTATTCTTCCCGAAAACCACAGTCCAGGACCAACTCCGGAAACGAGCGTAGGAACGGAAGGAGCATTTTCCATTCCCGAAATGCATCTGGCCTTTTTCCGGGCGAGTTACTACTACTACTACCACTACCACTACCACTACCACTACTACTACTACTACTACTACTACTACTACTACTACTACTACTACGCATCTGGGAGCATGCTCCTTCCGGGAGCGGCCACCGCTCGTCTAGATGCATTTTTCGGGGCCGGGAAAACGCATCTGGGAGCATGCTCCTTCTAGTGTCTGCCTTAAAAATCCACCGCTCGTCTAGATGCATTCTTCGGGGCCGGGAAAACGCATCTGGGAGCATGCTCCTTCTAGGGTCTGCAGTAAAAATCCACCGCTCGTCTAGATGCATTCTTCGGGGCCGGGAAAACGCATCTGGGAGCATGCTGTTTCTGGAGACTTCCATCAGTTGTGCCCCCGGAGCCTTGAAAGCTGGTCGAATCGGATCGGGCCAATCGCTTCGGCGCTGGTCGAATCGCGATTCTCAGGCCGGAGCTGCGGGAGCGTACTTCGCACGCTACTTTTCTACTTAAAACTTGCCATTCTCAGGCCGGAGATGCGGGAGCGCGCTTCGCATACTACTTCTGTACTTAATTTTCACGAAACTCACAGCGAGAGCGATCCGACGCGCGCAATCCCCGCAGAGGGTTCGTCGGCCAGCGTGCAAATTCGCACGGCGCCACAGCGAGAGCGATCCGACACGCACGATCCCCGCAGAGGGTTCGTCGGCCAGCGCCCGCCAGACCCACCCCCGGTTAAAAAGAAGATAGATTTTAAAGGCTGCGAGCTTGGGCTGGGTAAGCTAGGCTGTGTAAGCAAGGCTGCGTAAGCTAGGCTGCGTAAGTCAGGCTGCGTAAGCTAGGCTGCGTAACTCAGGCTGCGTAGGTCAGGCTGCGTAAGTCAGACTGCGTAAGTCAGGCTGCGTAAGTCAGGCTGCATCAGTCAGGCTGCGTAAGTCAGGCTGCATGAGTCAGACTGCGTAGGTCAGGCTGCGTAAGTCAGGCTGCGTAAGTCAGGCTGCGAAAGTCAGGCTGCGTGAGTCAGGCTGCCTAGGTCAGGCTGCCTAGGTCAGGCTGCGTAAGTCAGTTTGAGTAAGTCCCGCTGCGTAAGCTAGGCTGCTTAAGTCAGGCTGCGTAGTCGGCAACCGTTTTTTCCAAAGAAACCTTCGTGATGCTTTTGGGGAAAAAACAGATGCGCAAACTACTAAACATGCAGACAGTCACACCCGACCATCAAACAAAAAAAGCAACAGGCGCGTACAGAACCGCACCCGCGCAAAAAAAAAAGAGCAACTAGTGCTTTTTCGCAACTTGCCTTCACCTTTGCTGCCCGTGAGCGTGTGGCTTTCAGCGAAAATCTAGGGATGCGCGGTGAAATTACGGGGGGGCTTTTACAGCTTACAAGCAGCAAAAGTCCCCTCAGTGTATGTAGTCAACCCCCAAGAGGGTGGAGGTTGATTCGAGTCAGCCGCATCATCTACCGCTAGATTCGAAAGCGTTACGAGGTCCATCGTGAAGCACACACAGCTGGCTAGATCAGGAACCCCGCGCCAACACAAACAAACACACAAACACACACAACACTCAACACTCAACACACAACACTCAACACTCAACACACAACACACAACACACACCGCAAACCGCACGCAAGCACGCACGCACGGACGCACGGACGCACGCACGCACGCACGCACACACACACACACACACACACACACACACACACACACACACACACACACACACACACACACACACACACACACACTCACCACACACACACACACACACACACACACACACACACACACACACACACACACACACACACACACACACACACACACACACACACACACACACACACACACACACACACACACACACACACACACACACACACACACAACACAACACAACACAACACAAACACACACACAACACACACACACACACACACACACACACACACACACACACACACACACACACACACACACACACACACACACACACACACACACACACACACACACACACACACACACACACACACACACACACACACACACACACACACACACACACACACACACACACACACACACACACACACACACACAGCGGCCACCGCAGGCACGCGCTCGCGCACGCGCACGCGCACGCGCACACGCACACGCACACGCACACGCACACGCACACACACACACAACCACACGACGCACACACACACACACACACACACGCACACACACACACACACACACACACACACACACACACACACACACACACACACACACACACACGCGCTCAGGAACTTACGCGCGGGCCGCACGCACGCACGCACACACGAACATCCATCCATCCATCCATCCATCCATCCACCACTCCACCATCCATGCGAAATGCGCCTGCCATCCAGCCATCCATCCAATCATCCATCCATGCGTCCATTGTCAACCCATCCATGCGTGCAAGCATCCATCCATCCATCCAGCATCCATCCTGCCCGTTCACCATCCACTGTCCATCCATCCCTGCGCGTGGCATCCATCCATCCATGCATCCATCCATCCACCGTCCATCCATCCATCCATACATCGCGCCGCATCCATCCACCCAAACTATCGCAAATGCACTTGCCACATTCTGTCAACCTGTTACAGCACCGATATCACCTTTGGGGCTTTGCCAGCGTTGCTTTCTTGCAGGTTCTATCTTCAAAAACTTTCCAACCTGCTGCGTAGCCGAACCTTCTCAATACAATGGGAGCCCCAAATCCGCCAGGGCTTGAAAGTCGCTACGCTTTTTTAAAGTTGCACACGAAGTGCGCATTCCCAACTCTGGCTCGCGAGGAGACACTTTGCAGTACCAAAGTGTGCGTGCGAAGATACCTTGGCAGCTCTGGATCAAGAGTCGCAATCATTCAGCCTGCAGCACACCAGGCGCGTTTGGCACAAATTATGGCTGATAGGTGTTTCCAATGTTGCAGCCCCCAGAACTGATCAGACACGCGCAAACATGGCTTGGCCTCCAGGGATAGGACATAGCAAGTGCAAAGAGTTTAGCCTGTTGTTGACCTGTTATCCACTTTCAACCCACCCGTGTTGACTCGTAGGTTTTGTCCGTGCCCATGTACCACTTAAGACTAACTCACAACGCTTGTAATCCCGAGCAGCGACTAGCAGCGATTAACTTCGTTTTCGGTTGGCAATTGGGATCGATGCCAGATGGGACTCCCCCCCGCACATAGACAATATCTCAACACGGTGTGAAAAAAGCGCGTGTTTGCCAACCTGCGCTCACAAAACTCCAACACCATTGTGGATTGTGGGGAGATGGTAGGGATCTCTTCGCTGGGTGTCGAATGTCCTAGAAAAGGTCTCAACAGCCATCCTCACAGAATTCTCAGCCAGCAGGCGGCTAGCACTGTTGAACCATTGTTGCAATGCGCTTGTGGGAGGGTGTTTTGGTTCTGTTTTCGCTTGCGCTGTGGCTGATAAGGACGCAAAAATGCAAATCTGGATCCCAACGATGGCTCAAAGCGCTGCAATTGCACACGCCACTTTTCTGAACCGATGGGCCGCACGCAGCCACGCCATTCAAAGCGCGCTTAACGTAGCTGTACTGAGCTGGTGCGTTAGAGCGAACACTTTCAAATCAATCAGGCACGCCGGCAAACAACATCTCATTTTAAATAAAGAGGAACACGGCAGACAAAGGTGTGAAGACACCAGGCACGCTTGGCACGTTCAATCGCCATCTGAATGAGCAGCGCCAACTGGTCCAGGGTGGATAGACGTGGTGCCTGCCAGCGCTGGGTGGTTGGGGCGTAGTTTGGCCAGGAAGTTGTCCATCAGCAACTGTTGAGGTTCAAGCTCCCAAAACTGATTCCGCCGACCTTGCTCGGAGTCGCAGACACCTGAGAGAGGATAGAGGACTAGACAGGGGGGGGGGCCGCGCACGCGCGGCAATTTGATGACGTTCTGCTAAAACAAAATCTTCACAGGGGCCCCAAGCCGAACCCCCTTTGCCGGCCCTTTGCCGGTTTGGATTTCCCGCCTCCTTTTGCAAAAAACATGGAAAACTCTGTGCTGTTTGACCTCATTGCTGCGAAAATGTTGAACACACTAGTGTTTATGTCGATGTTTTGGGTGCGCGCCACCATGGCCTCCTTAAGGCTGCAAGCGGCGTATGTTTTCGAGTGGGAGGTGAAGGGGAAACAAACGGGGAATGACTCTGCTCAAGACTGAAGGGAAATGAATCGGACATGAAGGGGACGTAAAGGGTGTGTGTGTGCGCAACTGCAGAAAGCGCTAGGAAGTGAAAGGGGGCGTGACACCGAGATGAAAGAACTCAGCGGGAGTGGAGGGAAATTCGACGGAATCGTGGAAACAACGGGGAATGAAACGAAGGAAGGGGAAATAAAGGGAAATGCAAGGACACGTAAGGGACAGGAAATGGAAACAACAGGAAATCAATGATAATTGAAAGGGAAAGGAAGGGGAACTGAAAGGGACATGAACGGGAAAGGAATGAGAAATGCGTGAAGGGGGAATGAAGGGACATGAAAGACAGTCACGAGGAAAACAAAAGACACAAGGGGAGATGTAAGGTAATGGTGAAGGGGACATACATGGAAAATGAAGCCGACATACCGAGAAAATAGGGAAATGAAAGGAAGGGCAAGGAAAACGGGTCATGAATGGGAAACCAAGGGGAAAGCCGTAGCAAGGAGACAATACAGGGGCCATGAAGAAAAAGTGAACGAAAAGTGCGGATTCAAACGGGAAATGCAAGGGAAACGGAAGGGAAGTGCAAGGGGCCAAAACGGGAGCAAAGGGAAAACCAAGGGAAATGAAAGGCAATAAAGGAGAAATGAATGGAAAGAAGGGAGCTATAGTGATTGGAACTGAAGCAGGCTCAAGCAGAAATGAGATTGAGGGTGCAGGGGAGGGGGGGAGGAAGCAAGCATGCAAGGAACATGACAGGGACATGGTAGCTTGTAACTTGAGAGGAGAGGGAGAAAGAGAAAGGTAGAGAGAGAGGAGAACGAGAGAGAGGAGAAAGAGAGAAAGAGAGAAAGAGAAAAGATGAAGGAGATGAGAGAGAAGAGGGGAAAGAACGAAAAGAGAGAGAGGAAGAGAGCGAAAAGGGAAAGAAGAGAAAGAAGAAAGCGAAGAAGGACAAGAGAGATAAGAGAGAGAAGAGAGAGAAGAGAGAAGAAAGAGACGAAAAACAAAAAGAAAAAGACAGAGAAGGGAGAGAAGAGAGAAGAGAGAGAGAGAGAGAAAGAGAGAGAGAGAGAGAGAAAGAGAGAAAGAGAGAGAGAGAGAGAGAAAGAAAGAGAGAGGACTGGGGGCATGATGTTGGCATCATCCCTGCCATCATCCCAGGCATCATGCCAGGCATAAAACCAGGAGGGCGTGGTCCCCACCCTTGATGCTGACATTCAAGCATGATGGACGCCTCCTGCTGATCAGGAGCTGCTGGTGCTATCTGGTTGCATACACTTAGGATAGAAAAATGTTTCACGCAACACCTGAAAACAATATTGCTCTTTAGGCAAGTTGCCGTCGGCTCCCTGGTAGCGCTTGCCCCCTTTGACCCCTTTGTTTTTCCTTTTTGGTGGGACCTGAGGACCAACCATAGGGCTTGTCACCCTTGCCATAGGAGGACTCCCTCTTCTCGGCACCGTTTTGATGGCCTCCCCTTCCACGTGTTGGTCTGCTTGGAACCCTTTGGTTGTAGGCCCAACTCTCTTTCGTCATGTGAAAGAGATCCTCAGCTGCAGGCTTGCGCAGCCAAGCTGCTCACACATACGGACAAGCGAGTTTTTCAAGAGAGGACATGAAAGATTTGGCAAGAGAGGTTGCAGAGCATCATGCGCAGCATCATGCGCTGCAACGCGCGCAGCGTCACGCGACATTGCGCGCAAAATCACGCGCAACATCGCGCAACATCGCACAGCTTCGCACGCAACATCAAGCCACAGCATCACGCGCGCGAAGTTGACAGGCGAGATTGTGAAGCCTGATGCTAGGCTTGCTCATCAGATTTCGCAGAAACTCTGCTTGAGCAGGGGCGTCGGCGTGTTTACGATCTCATCAGGTGGGAGAGGTGTCAGTGTTTATTTTACGTCTTTCTATGCTTCCGGGCCACCTGTCGTCAAGTTAGACCCAATACTATTTCGGGTCTCTTACCGGGATAGTTCTTTCTCTTTTTTAAAAATATTTATTCTCCATTTCTTCTCTCTCTCCCTGCAGCTGCAGCCCCTGAAGCTGCAGCCCCTGCAGCAGTTGAGGCATCAACGTATACACTTTCAAATGGTTACCTGAAGAGTGTTCTCGTATCTTGGCCATCTCACTTCAGGGTGCATTTTTTGCAGGATGTACCATATAGCATGTGGTTGCCTGGAAAAATGTCCTTGTGTCCTTGCATGCCTGAGGCCTCAAGAAGAATCCATCATGTGATTTTGTAGCCCAAGTGACACTACATGGCAGGCCCAGCGGCTCTACATGAGCCCTGCAGTGAGCATTGCCATGTCATGCTAACAGTTGTGGGTGGGGCGAGCAAAATGGCACCACCAAAGCACCCAGGTGTTTTTTAAGGAGGCATCAGCTCACATCAGGGGTATCGTCCTGCCAACATTCTAGGAGTATCCTCCTGCCATTCCAGTACATTGAGAAGGTTCCCCAATGGAAGGCTTTGACAAGAGGCAGGCCGTAAGCCTGTGGTGGCACTGGACCCTTCAAGGTTGCTTTGGGCAGTGTGTCTATGGGAGCCAGGGATTGCCAAGTTAAATACTTAACTTAACTTAACTTCATTTAACTTCGCTTTAGTATTTAAAACAGACTAAACTGGAGTTAAATGAAGTTAAGTTGGATATTTAACTTCCCTCCTGATGTGTGATTACGTTTTGGGTGTCACCAGTGGCTTCCTCACAAAACCTATGAGATAGCCTCCAATGTTTATTGTTTTTTTGGGGGGGGGGGCATTGGCTTGCTACCCCATTGGTTTGAGGATTTTGGGGGGTGTCAGCATGATGTGATGATTTGGAATCCACCATCTAAATCTTTGGGGTGGTTAGGCCACACCAACTTGTTGTAGAAGCTTTCTGATCCCAAGCAATCTGCAGACATTTTAGTGGCCATGGGCAATTCGTCTGCAGCAGCTGCCAAGGGCAAGTCTGACAAGGGCAAGTCTGCCCCTGTCAAAAAGGACAAATATGCAGCTTCAGAAAAAAAGAAGGACCAGTCAAACATGCTCGGCCAGCTGAAGGGCAGTTCTGATCATGCCAAACAAGCAGTCTACCTGGTGTACAACAACCTCCCTCGATTCTCCTCCAAGAAAGCTTGGCTGTTGGACCAGTGGAACAAGAGCTGCAAGTGGCATGTGAACAAGACCCTGGAGGCCAAGGACTCAGGAGTTCCTGTCTGGACATGTTACCAAGCGCCCCCCCAAACCGTGAACAAACACATGCATTTTATGTTTCCTGTTTTGGGCCTGTAGGTAACAGCTGGCTGACATGATGAAGATGAATGTGGGCTTCAAAGATGTGATCAAGGGCATGCCTCTGAAACCCTGCTCTGAAGCCCTCCAAAAGGCAGTCAGTGCCTCTGGCAGTGTCAAGCTCAGCTACCAGGAGCTGAAGGGCTTGCGTGGTCCTCACCAGTTCCAAGGCGGCTGACTTGGTAGAAGTTCCTCCCCAAGACCTTGCCATTGCGAGGGCTTGTCTGGCTGAGCCAGCTGAGAGACTGTCACCACTGACACCCTCAAGAAGGCCAAGGACTTGGCTGAGTCCAACTCTCACTACTTGGACGCTTTTAAGAGCTGAAAAAAAGCCACACGACAGAAAAGGTGGGAACCTTGCAGTTCCCTGTTCAGCTTTGCTTGGCCAGGAGGCCTCCTGCAGACAACTGGCTTCCTGACAGCAGCAGCGACTTCGAGGAAAAATGATGATGTCCTTATGCACTTGCCTTGCATTGCATTGCTTGCCTGCGCAATGCTAGACCAGAAACAGACCCTTACAGCTGTGAACACAGGCTCAAAGAGGATTGAAAACAGCCCATTGGTTTGTTAAAGAACAATGAGACTTAGGTTGGGTGCCACGGGGTGGTGGCTTGTGTGGCTCACTTGCTTGCGCTATGCCAGCAGCATGTTCACAAAGAAGGCTTTGGGCTGAGAAACCATTTGGAGGATTTTGTTGAGCAATCAGGTGTCTGGAGAAAGGGCTGAAAGCCTAATGGTGGATGCTGAGCTTGCCGGAGCTTCCAATTTTACTGACTGGAAACCCAGTGCAGGTAAACTTGTCAAATCCAATAACGCCAGCCGAGACCTGAGAAGGAAGTTGGTCAGGTACTCTTTGTGGCCAAAGCTTTACTGGGCACCAATCACGGTGTGTGATGCTAGTTCACAATCAAAGACAACTTTTGTACTACCATTCATTCTTTTTGCCACATGAAGTGGATTACTGTGTTGCCAAATTTTCTGACCTAGACAAGCTCTTGTCCAAAGAAGGCATGGCTTTTGATACAAAACAGCACCTGGAGAATTTGGAGGAGTTCTTTGGAGGCCCTGTCTTAGGCCTGGGTGTTTAGTGTGATGGAGTGCCTTACAACTGGGACAGGACTTCTTCTTTGGAAGTTGTGGCATGGAACCTGCCTGGTGTTGTGTCTATGAAGAATAGGAGAATCCCCTTCACCTGCTTGGATGGGAAATACATCTGCAAGCACAAGACTTATGATGACATTTGGACAATTTTGGTCTGAAGTGCTTGCTATCTGGATCCTTCCCTACTTGCAGACATGATGGGGCTGCTTGGTGGAAGAGTGATGTTTGGAACCTTTGCTAGTGCAAGGGGCGCTGGCTGAGGTCAGGGGGGATTGGAAAGCCTTCAAGGAGATCTTTAGGTTTCCTGGCTGGCGGGGAAAAGATGGCTGCTGCTGGAAATGCAATTGCATTGTCAGCCAGGTCACTGGTGCCACTTTGGATGCTCCTCGGAGAAGGCCGGAAAATAGACTGACACATTGGTCGTTTTTGTCAAGGCAAAGGGCCTTGAAGAGGAGCACATCCGCCTTACAGCAAGCACCTTACTTGAGGACCAGCTGCTTTCAGATTGATTGGCTGCATGCTTGTGACAAAGGTGTGGCAGCAGATTTTCTTGGCAATTTCCTAAGATGGGCTGTTTTGCCCAAATTGGAAGGCGGTGGTGGATGGAAAGCAGCTTGCAAGCCTTTGCTTTTGAAGATTACGCAATGGTATTTGGACCATGGAGTAACTGACAAGCTACAGAACTTGACCTGGGGCATGGTGCAAAAGGCAGGATCTGAGCCTGCAAAAAACTGAGAGGCTCTGCTGCAGAGATTGAAGCATTGCTTCCCTGAGCCAGAGACATGGCCACTGAGATGTGCTCTGAAGAGACCAACTTTGATACCACAGTCAAAGCAGCTGCCCATCATTTAGCAAACTGCTATGATGCTCTTTTCATTGATTTGTTTGACCATGCGTTCATTGCAGAGAATGCAAGGAAGTGTTGCCAACTCTATTGCTCACTGAACAGGAGTTCTCCTCAATGGAAAGTGAAGCCAATATTATTTTTCGAAATAACAGAACTTTCAATGACCCGTCCTTCAGCTGTGTGGACTTATGGAGTTCGGAGGAGCAATGGCACTGACAGGAAGGCGAAGAGGTGGCATGAAGACCTTGAAGTCAGTTCCTGAACACATTTTTAGTAGGTTCTGTGCCAGGCATAATGCGCCTGCCTTGCCTTGACTGTGAAAGCGAAGCTAAACAAGTGTTGCCTGCACGGGGGGTGAACATAAAATAGCGAATCACATTTGCATGTGTTCAGGAACATTTCCTGCATTTCAAATGATGCTCCTCCAAGTCATGGCGCACGCACCCTCCTCAAAATCAATGTTTCAGAAGCTTCTTTTTCTAAAAGCCTACTTAACAAGAACTGATTTTTCACAAGGCACTGAAAATGATTATGTAGCCACAAAAGCGCTTAATTAACACATTGCTTAATTAAGCGCTTTACTGCTTAATTAAGGAGTGTTCCCCTTGGAAAAGCTCTTAAATTAAGCACTATAGTGCTTAATTAAGCGATCAAGCCTTATTCAAGAGCTGTGATTAAGAGCTTTTTCCTTAATTTAAGTATAATACCTTAATTAAGCGCTTTTAGAAGATGAGGGCAGCGAGGGCGCTTCGACACGCACGATCTCTGCAGAGGGTTCGCCGAGCTCACATTCGCACCGCGCCACAGCGAGAGTCGCCGTGCTCAAAAGACATTTGCACGGCGCCACAGCGAGAGTGCTTCGACACGCGCAATCTCCGCAGAGGGTTTGCCGAACTCGAGACACATTCGCGCGGCGCCGCAGCGACAGCGCTTCGACACGCACGATCTCGCTGAGCTCAAGACACATTCGTGCGGCGCCACAGCGTAAGCGCGTGCGTCGACACGCACGATCTCCGCAAAGGGTTCGCTTTCGTCTTGCAATGCTTGCAAATGAGTGAAACACTGCGCCTGCCACAAAATTCACAGACCCTGTTTATGAAAATGCTGCGCCTGCCACGAACCTATAGCAGCAGCGCAAAACACACTGCGCCCACGACGAAAAACTCACAGCAGTCTCACAGAATGCTGTGCTGGCCATGGAATTCTGCGGCAACACACAAATCCGAAGATCGGCGCGGCGCCACAGCGAGAGCGCAGTTTTGAAGAAAGGTCCGTTTCATGCGAAGCTGGCGCGCGAAAGACAACTTTTTGCGACAACCGCCATGGTTTTAGAGCTCCGATTGTCCAAGCGTCGTAGCCTAGAAAGAAAGACAGAAAGAAAGAGAAAGAAAGAGAGAGATAGAGAGAGCAAGAGAAAGAAAGAGAGGAATAAGGAGAGAAAGAGAGAGAGAGGAGAGAAAGAGAAAGAGAAGAGAGAGAAAGAGAGAGAGAGTGGCATGGCGAGGAACGGCCGAAAGGAAAAGAGCGAGAACAAAGGAGAGAAGGGAGGGGCCAATGTCAGCCGGAGGCTTGAAAGTTAAGGTGAGTCTAGTCTCACTCCATTCTGCTGACGTGCAAAAATCATCACATGCTTTGTTCCTGTCCAGCACCCGCCTGGCTCCGTCGCTGGCGGCGTGGCATCGCCGTCCTGCATGGCATCAATCTCCTGGCACAGTCGGGCCAGCTGAGCTCTCACACGCAAATCGATATTGAAGTGGCCTCCTGCATCGCAGCGCCCAGCAAGGTGGCCAAGGAATTGTCATCCATGTCGAGGTCTGCCTGAAGCAGAAGCACAAATTCCTGGAGACATCTCACACACGCCTGGCCTCTCGCGTCTCTTGGTTGCCCGACCTTAATGTCCGAATTCATGTCTGTGGCAAGCTATTGCCATGGCCAGAAAGCACTTGTGTGTAGCTTCTGGTCATCTAGCAACGCAACCCGCAAAAGAACTGGCTCATGAATCCTCAGTCATGCTCCGCTTGCAATTTGCTGTAGCCATGAAATCTGCGCGCGCAGCTTTACGTGCAAATTGGCAGAGTTCAAATTTCAACACTTCTGACAACCTGAATTGACACTGACCGTGGTCACGACACCTCCCGGTCACAACACCTCCCGTGCAATCAAGTAGCCTGCGCAAAGCGCTGCCTGCTTCTGTCAGGTCTACTGCGTTGACGCCTTGGTCTGGCTTCAGCATCAAACCATTGCAACCGAGACCTGCCTGCGCATGCCCCGTAACTTGCAACACAAATCCCCAGACGTGGACATGCCAAGGCAAGCCGTGCGCGTGCCACCGAGGAGCTGCCGCCATAGGGGTCGACACGCGCTCGTGCCTTCGGAGGCTGGATTTGGGCCTAGCACGCAGGAGTCACCGTGATATCAGCTGTTTAAAGAGTTGGGGCAAAAGTTAAGGAGCCTAAACTCACGACATAACCCCTGTCTCGAGACAAAAGCAACCAACCGCGTGGGGTTCCCAATTAAGGTGAGCCGCGTCGCTCCTCCGGCGCTTGCGGGCCAAGGCGGCCGACTCCAGCGCCGACTGTGCGGCTTTGCGCGCACCTTGCATGGGAGGCAGACGATTGTCATGTCAGTAATCCGCCGGCCCCTTGTCCGCAAGGGCGAAGCGCCCAGGAAGTGTGCTCTTGTAAGTGTGGGGAATCAAGCTTCTCATGACATCAGGCCCTTGGCTACCATCAAGCCAAGTGTGCCCTTATCAGCGTAGGATTCGGACGTGACGTTAGGCAGCTGCACTGCCAGGGCTGCCTACTTGAATAAGGTGTGGTGTTGGGATGCGCTTTTTGTAGCGAAGCGATGACCATGACGGTGAGAACCATGATGATGGTAATAACGGGCATGTCCTGCGTCCCCAGCGGGGCCTACAATGATTGTCATCATCCGTGCGACGATGATGACAATGACCATGATGATGATGGTGAAGATGATGATGACTTTGACGGTAAGCATGTGGCGTTAAGCGCATGCTTGTGATGATCTATGATGATGATAATCGTGATCACTACGACGGTGATGACGCTGATAAGTGTCGCCGCAGCACCACCCGCATGCCCAGCGCCTATGATGGTCATACTTGTTGCAATGCTGGTGATGGTGATGACTCTGATGATAAGGATGTGCGTCTAGTTTTATCTTCAGGGTTTGACAGAGAGAAAGAGAAAGAAAGTTGCAACGCTGGGGATGCTGAGGATGATGAACATCACGCTGATGATGACAGTGATGATAAGGACGTGCTTCGAAAGTCAGGATTCGGATGGGGCGTAGACAGTTGCGACGAGGAACGGATGACTATCGTAGTAGCGCGGCGCCTATGATGATGGTCATCCTTTCGACGATGGCGATGACCATTACGATGATGATAATGATGACGGTAACCATAAGGATGCACCTGTCCGTCTATCCATCCATCATCATCACCATTATCACCCGCCATCATCATCCATGATCCATCATCATCACCCAAGGCGCTTCTTAAACAATTTTGTCCATGCAGGAAAAAGCCTTTTCCAACTGAAAACCTAACTCCTCCATAATGTAACCCCTGCCTAGACAAAACGGCTCTCGAATCAAACCGCCACTTACAAAATCAAAACGACAACTGCGAAAACAGAAGCCACCTGCCGAGTCAATGTCTCACCAAATGAAAAACGCCACCTCCAACTGAAAGTCCAACTCCTGCATAACGTAGGCCCTGCCTAGCCAAACTGGCTCCAAAAAACGCTGCGTGCAACTGCAACATCATCACATGTCAGGAAAGCACTTCAGATTCAGGACTCGGCGAGCTGACATGTAATGGTCATTGTCAAGTTCCCTTAGGAAACGGTGAAATCAATTTTATTGTAATCCTTGACGCAGCCACTACACTTCTAACCACAGAAGTAGTAGAAGGGACAACTGGCGTTTTGCTACGGAACTGTTTTGATCAAAATCATCTTCGGCCAAAATGTGGCGTTGGAGACCAAGCATTCGTGACAAAGAATTGGGAGACCTTCTTCACAAGTCTTGACATTAGGCCAGTCTCCTTAGGTCGCAGACACCTTGGCCAAACCGAGCTGAAACCGCAGTCCTTCTCATCAAGAGACAAGTCTCCTTAATGCTCAACTCAACACCAGCCTGGCTTAAGGCCATAACCTACAAGCACCTTGCAGCAACCGCAAGAAACCTCTGCGTACACGGAGGAGTCACTCCATTGGCCGGACGCAGGCCAGCAGAACTTGTCCAACTGGACGCAGCAACACCACCACAACTCGTTTTTCAACCATGCAAGAAGAGTTGACTGCTGGACACATTCGACTACTTGCGCAACAAGCTTATCAAGAGGCCCGACAATCAGAAGATGTTCGACGACACCCCCGCGCACACCCTGCGCCTAAGCTCCAAGCCAATCGTAGTTGGCGATAGAGTTTTGTACTGGAGTCCCAAGATCAAACTCGACGGTTCCAAAGGAGGAATGTGGCTCAAGGGCAAGGTAATCTCCACAGATGGCACTCTAGCTGGTTTTCAACCTGGGAACCAGATTGCTCAAAGGTCAACATCACCAAGTTGAGGAAGGATGAACCCAAACCGCCACCTAAATCTGGACGAAGCTACAAAGTTGATCGTAGGCAAGTACCTGGCTCTCTTTTCTGCAGCAATCTTCGGATCATTGTTATGATGGACCAGGGTCCACAATTGGTGCAAGCCACGCAGGTCCACAAATTGGTGCAAGCCACGCAGCACTGATCAATGCGAGCGCTGCCCGCGAGTACTTCCAAGACATGGGTCTTACCCTTAGCCACACAGTTCCAATGGTCTTCTGTGTAAAGGCCAGCCCCCTTGTCTTTTTGTTTTTCCGCTTGGCTGGCCGGCCTGCTGCCCTGTTTTTGGCTACTAGATCTTTAAGAAGATCTCCCCGGAGGATGGCAAGTCAAGATCGCAAGATACCAGCTGAACCAAGGACTCTATGGAATAATCGGGACCAGAATCCGAAATATGGACACAAAAGTCCATTGAAGCCTTCTCATGTTTGATTTTTGTGCATTCGGTCTTCGTGGTCCTGACACTGAACTTAGAAATTTGAAACCAGTGCATTATCTTTCTTAAGAAGTCATGCGAGCAATACTCAGAAGGTGCGCAAATAATCTCGGGAAGGAAAAGCACCAACATCAGCCACTAAGAGTCAGGGCAGTCGCACAAAGCTTGCCCAGACCTATCCTATCTCATCCTGTCAGGAGATGGACCTCTCAAACTCCTAAAAGTCAAACCTTCAGATAATGATATTTTCTCTTAGAAGACATTTTCGAGCCATTCGCCGACAGTGACCTCACTAGGATTCGATCCGAGTTGGACAAGATTGACAAGGCGTACAGCATGACGAGCGCCAGCACTCGCGTCGAGGTTCACGACCTACCCTTCAACAATCAAGTAGACCCACTCTGTATTAAAGTTATACCTCCTTGATTAATAACACCCCCTATAATATCATTTTTCGCAATTCAGGATCTTGTGGCTGATTTGGCACGATTTTTTAAAACAAACACGAAAAGTATGGGCTACACAAACTTGGCAAAGAAGTCGAGCAAAATAACGAGCAAACGGTCGCAGGCAAACATAAGGACTTTTTTAAAGTAGCCCCCCACCACCAAACCTAAGATAACTTCCTTACAAAAAAGTGCGGGCAAACAGTAACACAAAGGGGGTTGCCCCAACGGCTTTTTGCCTTTTACTTTTAGGGCGGTTCACCTAACCAAGCTCTTCCCAGCTCAAAAGGTAAAGGAATTGGATCTAGGACGTTCATTTTGCCAGTGGCCCCCAAACCTAGTTCGAGTTTGGTTCAGCTTGGTTTGGTTTAGTTTGGCTGCTGGTTCAGTCCAGTCCAGCTTGAGCGGTTTCAGCTTTGCTTTGCAAAGCTGGGGCCAAGCCGGTCTGGTCCAGCCCAGTTCCACCAAACTTGGGATACCTTCCTTACAAAAAATACGAGCAATCAGTCACACAAAGGGGGTTGCCCACCCTTTAAAGTCTAACCTTTTTGGGGGTTGCTGAAAGAACTGTCTTTGGCAAAGTACAATTTGCAACACTAAAGTAGAATTGGCAATACTAATGTAGGTACTGGAGAGTCAGCCTTGGCAATACTAGAGTGGGCTTGGCAATACTAAAGTTAAAGTAAGTACTAGGAACCTGAGAATCGTTCTTGGCAATATTAACGTCGAATTAACAATACTAAAGCAAGTAGTGGGAATCTGAGCGGGGCCTTGGCAATACTAAAGTAGAACTGGACACGCTAAAGTAAGTACGCAGGATTTTGCCTAAGCAGGTCCAGCTGACTGGTTCCGCCACTCCTAGCGAGGGGGGGGTGTGTAAAAAGGGTTCGATGGCGCCAGAAGATTCGGCACCGACTCGCCGTTGACAGCACCGCCAGACAACGCTTGCGTATTTCTGCGGCAGGCCACTACCGAGTAAACTGCGGGTCTTGCCGGCGCGCCGGTGTGACTGGAACAACCAAAAGTGCTCTCACAGGGCAGCATGTCGTTGAAAGAAGCACCAACGATTCGGTCAACGCTAATCGACCAGCATCACCTCCTCAGCCTGACCAAGACATGCCACAGGCACCACAGCCACAGAGACCAGACCTACCAGCAAACGTACCAAGGCCTTCAAGCAACGCTTGTGCCACAGCACGCGCCAATCATCCAAGAGCACATCCCGACGCACCAGCGCTACAGCCACGACAACCACAACCTTCGCCGCGACGCTGGGGGGATATGTTTCCGGGCCTTCCAGCACCGAGGTCCGTAACACACCCCGGCAATAATGAATCCGCTCTTTTCATAGAAGTCTATACTCCCCCCCCAATACTTCCCCTCAAAATGGCTAAGGGAATTGGTTTCGGACAAGAATCTACAAGCAAACAATAAGCAATGAACAAGGATTTGTCACTGGGGCCGGTGTTCATCCAGCTGAAAGGACAATGTAGCGGGCGGGCTGGGCAATGCGCAGTCTTTTTGGGAATCAATCTGCTTAGCGTGTTTGCACAACCTTCAGGTGGTTGAAGGCTGCGCGCAGAACGCTGGAGCCCAAAGCAGAAGTTACAAGGAAATTCCTGACATAAAAATGGTAAGCGTCTAATGTGTCTGAACAGGCGCTAAACCTTGGAGCAGCATGCTTGTAGAAAAGCCCTTAGTTGGGGCTAACTCAATGGTTGTGGTGCCAAATGCCAAATCGCAGCATTCTTGCAGCCTATCCTGATTCGGGGCAGATTCGAGGCTTTTCTTTGGAAAGTATGTACCCTGGCAAATTGCAGTACATATGCAGCAAAATCCTGATTCGAGGCTGATTTTTGCACAGGTCTGTTCTTTGGGGCAAAATTGCAGCACATATGCAGCAAAATCCCTATGAGGCTTATTTGACGCTATTTGGGGCATATTCGGGGCTTATTCGAGGCGAATTTTGTTGCACACGTTTGCAGCCGAGAATGTGTGCAGCTACACCCTTACTTGTTGCTGATTCGAGGCTTGTTTTTGACACATTGTTATTTGGCGCTTATTCGAGGCGTATTTTTTGCACAC